GGGGTGTCGAGGCTTTGAATTGGAGGTCTTTAGCTGTTGGCGTGGGCTTGTGTCCACGTCTCTATCCGGAGGTGTGATGGTGGGGGCCCCTAGATTCTTGGCACCCATCCTCTCCCTTGTATCCGGCGTCACTGGCTACCGGTCTTGGCCAGTGTTAGCGTCGAGTCCCTTTCCGAGTATTTCTCCATTGTATTTCTCCGGCCTACAGTCGTTTAGACTGTACACAGAGCAGATACCTTCGTCATAGAGGTGTGTCTTCGGAACCCTAACTCTGTAAAAGTTAACCTGAGGGGTTTGCCTTTGGGCCACTTCATAATGGAAATTTCAGGTGTGGGATTTTGGACCCGTATTTTTCAGTAGAGCGTCACAATAGAATGTGTCTGTGTCGTAGAACAACGCAGACTCCTTCACTCTGTTGTCTAAACAGAGGTGTAAGAATTTCGGGTCACATATCGCATCGGGTTTAATTTTTTTTCTTTTATAATGTGAATGGACCCACTTCATGTCAGCCACAGAGAGGGACATCATTTTTCAGTTCAAGAGCTTGAAAGACTAAAGGGATGCTCTTGAAAGCATGCCAAGTCACAATTTCATCCAGTTGTTTCTGAAACATTTGCAGTAATTCCAGTAGTGTAACACTTAAAAGAAAGGGGGAAAAAAAGTCCTCTGAGTGTTAAATCTAGGATTACAAAGTGCATCATATTACGGATCAGCCGATTGCCCCTGCAATTTAATAAGATTTCAACTCCCTTAAGAGTAATCTAATACAGGAATTTCACTGTGACTAAGCAGATCTTGGTATTTATTGTGAGTTTATTTGAAAGAAATATGAAATGGCCATCTTGCTCAAAGGTAGTGTTATCAACTGGATCATCAGACTTTGTTCTTTTAATCGTCATTGCAGTACTGTGCTAAAAAAAGAACATAACAGGCTTTGCAAACTAAAATAGGGTTAAAAAATTTCTTTTACCTGGGTCCTTTTGTGGTTGCCTCGTTAGGGCAGGGGGCCTGGGGTTCCTTTGCTATCCAGTTGTTTCTGGCCTTGTTCTGGGCAGGTTACAAAAGTCCGACTTAAATATAACTCCCAGAAAACCTATTATATGAAAAATTTGAGGTTCATATAATGGTTAGTAATAAAAACGGGTTGTACTAGCTCCATGAAGTAAGCACTGGATTGTGAACCACAGGATTGATGGTTCGAGCTTACCAACCACTCTACAGGAGAAAGATGAGGCTTTCTGCACCCACAAAGTTTTTAAAGTCTCAGAAATCTTACACAGGGTTGCTATGAGTTGGCAGCGACTTGATGGCATACAACAACAATAACAAAAGCAGGTGCTACTTTGCAAAGAGCATTTAACATTATTATTACAACTGTATTACGGTAAAAGATGTTTTGGTGTGTCTGGAAGTGTTTACTGTTTTTATGTATAGAATGGTATACTATATACTAAGATAAACATTTGACTGACTTAAATACAAATTGTACCTGTTACAACTTAAAATTCAACTTAAGAAACAGGAGCAGAACTAGTTCTGGGGACTGCCAGAATTGGTAAGCACTGCAACATAAATGAAATCTGATTCTCTCTAACCATGGATGAGTGAGAGCAGGGTATTTTAGTGGCTGATTTAAAGGCATAGACTTTACCTTTTCTGCTTCACCTTACTGCTTGGCTGTTTGGGAGATGGGGACAGTTGTCTCAGAAAAGGTGAGTGTTTTAACTGATGTAAAAGGTGTTAAACTACCAGCTGCTCTGTGGGAGAAAGATGAGGCTTTCTGCTCCTGTAAAGATTTACAGCCTCAGAAACCCTGTATAGGGTCACTATGAGTCGGAACCAACTCCACGGCACATAACAACAACAAAGGGTGTTAAGTCTTTGAATATAGAATGGGTGCAATGAATGTTTCAAATGCCAAATTCACTGGAGAAGGATATCATGTTTGGTAAGGTGGAGGGTTAGAGAAAAAGAGAAAGACCCCCAACGAAATGGATTGGCCAAGTGGCAGCATCGATGGACTCAAGTGTGGCAACAATACTCAGGATGGACTAGGATCGGGCATTGTTTCGTTCTGTGGTGCAGAAGGTCGCTATGGGTCGGTACCGAATCAATGGCACCTAACAACAACAACATGGTTATATGAGCATTCACGCTTTTTAATATAATGCACCTGCAAGACTTCAGAGGCCCTTTAAATTAGCAAATAGTGCTATCACAAGATTATGAATACATCAGAAACATTGAAAAGCTATACAAGTGACTTCAAAAAGCTTGTGTATAAATGGAGTAAAAAGATAATGGAATTTTCCATGAATTTTTTTGAAGCCCCCTTCGTAGCTGACAAAAAAAAAAAAGGTCTTGAATTTGTTTGGCTTTTTAATTAATCGTTATAGCTAGGTATTTCAGGCAAGTGATACTTTAGAACTTCTGATTTTAAAGGTATTTTTCTTTTTGCCAGAACTCAAGTCCTTTGAAGTTAATTGCTTAGAATTTATAAAAGAGATGTTTTTTTTCCTAGTGACTCATAATTTGAGTTAATAAATACATTTTTGAAGCAAGTGATAGGTTGTTGTGGGAATTTTGGCAGATGATCTCAAACTTGGACGCTTGGACAGTCAGTAATGAAAGATAAAAAGGAGTCTGAAATTAAAGCTCTTTATTTGATTTAGTGTGGATTTAGTAGGATAATCATTGGACTGCTTAACTGCAAGGTTGGTGGTTAAAATCTACCAGCCACTCTTTCAAAACCCTATATGGGGTCGCTGTGAGCTAGAACCAACTTGACGGCACTTAACAGTGAGCTAGAACCAACTTGACGGCACTTAACACTCACTTTAGGAAATTGTACTGGCGTCTGCTTATTCTTAAATAACTTTAGTTTCTTATTGTATGATCCAGCATTGATCCAAACATAAATGAGTATACCAATTTACTCTTCAGGTCTGAGCTCACTGGTTAGGTCCTTCTGTAGACAATTACTGTCTTTATTACATCACTTTTGCTTTATTTTAGACTGATGTTAGATTTGCAGTTAGTGTAGTGGTTACGAGTCGGGCTGCCAACCTCAAGGTCAGCAGTTGAAACTACCAGCGGTTCCGCGGGAGAAAGATGAGGCGTTCTGCTCCCATAAAGATTTACAGCCTTGGAAACCCTGTGCAGGGTCACTATGAGTTGGAACCGATTCCGTGGTACTTAACAACAACTACACGTATGACCCTTAGCGAGATGGATTGGCAAAGTGGCAGTGTCAATGGGTTCAAGCGTGGCAATGCTAGGTTGGTCCAGGATCAGGCAGTGTTTCATTCTGCTATGTATAAGGTTGCTATGAATCGGTACCAACTTGATGGTACCTAACAACAACAACATATGTCAGGAAGAACCCGTAACGTATACAAAATGGCAGTCATTCTAACAGAACAAGGGGATATTGAATGGTTTAAAATCAGGAAAGGTGTGCACCACGGTTGTATTCTTTCACTGTATTTAATCAATCTGTATGTTGAGCACATAATCTGAGAAACTGGATTATATGAAGAACGTGGCATCAGGATTGACGGAAGACTCATTAACAATCTGTGGTATACAGATGACACAACCATGCTTGCTGAAGTGAAGAGGACAAAATACTTATTGATGAAGATCAAAGACGACAGCCTTCAGTATGCTTTGCACCTCAGTGTAACAAAAAACAATAATTCCTAAAACGGGACCAATAAATAATATCATGATAAATGGCGAAAAGATTGAAACTGTCAAAGACTTCATTTTACTTGGCTCCACAATCAACAGTCATAGAAGCAACAGTCAAGAAATCAAATGATATATTGTATTAGGCAAATCTCCTGCACAAGACCTCTTTAGAGCATGAAAGAGCTGAGATAACAGTTGAGGACTTAGGTGCACCTGATCTAAGCCATGGAATTTTCAGTAGCTTCATATGCATGTTAAATAAGGAAGACCTTGGAAGAATTGATGCATTTGAGTTATGGTGTTAGAGAAGAGTATTCAAAGTACCATGGACTGCTAGAAGAACAAAGAAATCTTTGTTGAAAGAGGTACAGCCAGAATGCTCCTTAGATAGGATAGTAAGACTTCATCTCTCATACTTTGGACATGTTATCAGGAGGGACCAGTACCTGGAGAAGGACGTCATGCTTGGTAAAGTGGAGGTCAGCGAAAAAGAGGAAGTCCCCCAACAAGATGGATTGGCACAGTGGCAGCAGCTCAAGTGTAACAATGATTATGAGGATGTGCAGGAAGGACCAAGTGGTGTTTTGTTCTTTTGTGCACTGTGAGTCAGAGCTGATTTGATGGCACTTAATAGCAACAGTTGTACAGGGTCGCTATGGGTCGGAGCCGACTCTACGGCACTTAACAACAACAACAATAGCAACAGTGTGGCAGTTGACTATTCAAATGGGAGTAATGGGTGTTCATTGAAAGACAAGCAGATGAAAAATAAGTTACTTTTCATGTTGTCGGCTGTTCTAGAGCCTTTTACTCAAGGTGACTGCCATGTACAACCCCCATGATCTGTTGTGGATTTTGATTGTGTGGATTGGGGGCTTTCAGTGGCTGATTGCCAGAAGTAAATTGCCAAGCCCTTCTTTCTAGTTTATGTTAATTTGAAAGTTTCACTGAAATATGTTCAACATCATAACGTGCAAGCCTCCACTGACAGATGGTAGATGCACATGGGGTACATTTTCCATCAGAAGTCTAGACTATAATTAGAAATAAATTGATACCAGTCGTGAGTTCAGTAGTGCAAACCTTAAAGGCTTCTGTTCCTGGAAATTATACTTTAGAATTACTTCTATAGAAATAACATATAGGTTTACCTGGTGATGGCCACTTTATTTTATAGGATTATATACTGCAGATTCTTAGGATCTTATAATTAATAAGTTAGAGGGCTTCTGACATTATAGTTGATGAAATGTCATATAGAACTTACTCACTAATACCTTTAAAATTTATCATAATACCTTTTTTAGATGCCTTCAATTAAGTTGCAGAGTTCTGATGGAGAGATATTTGAAGTTGATGTGGAAATTGCCAAACAATCTGTGACTATCAAGACCATGTTGGAAGGTAAGTTTATTAGAAAACCTGGGAGGAAGGAAAGGATGAAATGTGTAGCTTGAGACAACCTGTGAATATTGCGTGTCTACTAACAACCATCTATTAGAGCTACTCAAAGATAAGGAAGGGGTAAAGTTTACATTTTTTCTACAAGTACTAACTGCATTGCTCGGATTTAAATAGTTCACCTTTTCTGCATTGTCTTAATTAATGAGGGGTTTTGTTTACCATATTAAATGGTTAAGTCCTGAGGTTAATAACTTTTGACGTGCTTTCCAAACCTCAAAGACCTGTTTTTTTTCAAGTAATTTTAGATTCACAGTTTTTAATGACAAAAATTAAACTAGATTCACAAATTTAATGACAAAAATGAAAGTTTTTAGAAAATGGTTATGTTATATGGTAGCTAAATAGGGCACCGTGTTTCAACTGAGAAAGTATGCTGAGTATATGTTTCTGTGTGTCTATATTATGTCATTCCTCTGAAACTGCACACCAAAAAGATGAGGCAAGAGAGCAGATCCTGAAACATCTGAAACTTAATAGTTAATTTAGATCTCTGTGTATTACTGTGGTTTATGGACATTGGTATGCGAGACATGCAATTCAGTGTCTAGAACTGGAGAAAAAGTTAGTGGGGTTATATGTCACACATCAGGCATATGCTGGTGAAAAGAAGGCAAGTGAGGCATATCTTTTGTCCTTAAATTTGTAAATACCTTTGACATTTAGCATTTAAAATCTTCAAGGGCAAAAGCTACACATCACTTCTCCTTACATACCTATAAGCTGGGGATCTTCTCTACATAAAGTTAAATGGTGCTGTGGGATACATCTTGACTGATGCTCATTCTTCATGCCTGTGGAGAGTCGGTTCTGACTCACTACGACCCTGTATAGGGTTTTCAAGGAGTGGCTGGTAAATTTGAACTGCTGACCTTCTTAGCAGTCCAGTGCTTATCCTGCAGTGCTACATGAGGACTCCTTAGTGTGGTACTATTGTTGTTGTTGTTGTTAAGTGCCGTCAAGTCGATTCCAACCCATAGTGACCCTGTACAGGGTTTCCAAGGAGCAACTGGTGAGCTTGAACCACTGACCTTGGAGTTCAAATGACTTTGCAGTTTGATGCATTAACCCACAGTGCCACACCAGGACTCCTCAGTATGTTACTAGTGGGATGATGTTTCAAATCCAGGAAAATTAAGATGGCTTTGGAAGATCATTCAGAGATAGAGTAGATAGAGCATTGTTACTGATGTTAGGTGCCATTGTGTTGGTTCTGATCCATAGCAACCCTATATACAACAGAATGAAACACTGCCCATTTCAGCACCATGTTATGCTTGAGTTCATTGCTGCTGCTACTGTCTCAGTCTCTGTATTGCTGATCCTCCACTTTACCAAGCATGATGTCCTTCTCCAGGGACTGGTCCCGCCAGAAAACATGTGCAAAGTATGAGAGACTAAGTCTCACCATCCTATCCTGACTTCTAAGGAACATTCTTGTTGTACTTCTTCCAAGACAGATTAGTTTGTTCTTCTGGCAGTCCATGGTACTTTTAATATTCTTCTCCATACCATAATTCAGATGCATTCATTCTTATACAGTTTTCCTTAGAAGAATCGATGCATTTGAATTACATCAGTATATTTGTTGTTGTTGTTGTTAAGTACCGCCAAGTTGTTTCCGGCCCATAGTGACTCTGCATAGGGTTTCCAAGGAGCGGCTGGTGAGCTTGAACCACCAACCTTGCGATTCAAACTGACTTTGCAGTCTAGTGCATTAACCCGCAGTGCTATCAGTATATAGATAGAGCATAGTAGAGGGGAAAAGAATAATATATTTTTTTACCTGGAGTCTATTGGGACTGGGATGGGACTATGACACTGGAGTTGACAGAACAACAGAACAGATTTGAGAGGAATGGAGAAGAAAATGATTTTGAGCGTGAGCATGTTATGTTTGAGATTTTGTCAAAAAAGCTAGGTATAGTAATTTAGACAGATGGGTATCTGGATCTTGACTCCTGAGTTGTAGACTGCTAGAGTAAACTTACTTTGTGTGGCAGGTTATCACACAGAGCGTCAAAAGTAAGTGGGGTATGGATTATGCAAATATCAGTGGGATGGGGATTTAAGAAAGTAGGACTTCTAACATACTTAGGTGTGGTTGAATTGCAGTGGGTGTGTCTGTGGTATTCTAAGTATATGTTTTGTTTTCTGATAAATGCTGAACATACAATTCCTTTTGACAATGAGTACCAGTCATGTGGCTCTTAAGGAGTACTGTATCATGGTACTTTATAAATTTCTTCTGTTAAGTTGTAAACCCCTTGGTACATCCTACAGTCACTGTTCATCAAGTACTTATTGAATGAAAAACTATGGTATGGTCATTAATAAAGAGTGTGAAAGCAATTTAAGTATTCCTAAAGATGTAGAATCTGATAGCAAACTTGCTGCCAGAATACTTGCTTTGGCAATGTATTTCATCTTATTTAGCATTTGACACTGCTGCTTCAAAGAAGCATTTCCCAATGTAAGATCATGGGGCTCCTTGAAGGTTTTCCAAGCCAACTTTAATCACTGAACCAAATGGGCTGATAGCAACAGTTAAATTATTCTTTCTCTTTGAGGATCAGAGGTGAGTGTCTTTATCTTAAGTAAGGTGGCTTATATAGGATTCTAGCCTCTTGAGGACTGGAGTCTATTGAATTCGGCAACATAACTGCTCTCCTCATTTTGCATCTGCATTATCTCTGGTTTTGGGTTTTATGTGACTTAGAAAACAAAAATAAAACCCTTTAGACACAGGACAATCAGAAGAGAAAATCTTGGCCATGAGTTCATGTGGATTGGCTGATTTGTTCATGTCCCTGGTGTGGTGTCAGGATACAGGTATCTTTGAGAAGTCCTTGAAACTAAATAGTTTAAAGGAATGACTGTTACTACTTGTGCATTCATTCTGAAAACAGGAAAGCAATGCAGATCCTTAGTTTAAATGCTCAAATAATCCTTTACAACCATAAGGCCCTTGTTTCTTTTTTCTAAGTTTTTATTGTGAATTATGTGTTAGTTTACATAGGTGAACATTATCTTTACATTCATCCTATTGTACTTGGTTTCATTGCAATGATCACAGTCTCCTGCATGCATCATCAAACACCCAAAAGGTACACCCCACACACCTGTCCCCCTGCTTATTAAAAATAAGGTCCTTATTTTTAATGTGACTTAAGCCTCATTCCAAATAATATTTGTTTTGAAACAAGCTAGTCTTCTGTATTATGTTTCCTGTAATATCTTACTTCCCCATACACTAGTATTGCTCTCATAAGGATTTACAGCCATGGAAACCCTATACTGGGTTGCTATGAGTTGGAACTGATCCAATGGCACTTAACAACTCTGATTAAAATGTGTTGTATTGGCTCAGGAGAAACCTGTGATCCAAGTTGAGCTTGAAATAAGACATTGACCTTGCCATTTTATAGTTCTAGTCTAGGCTGAGATATGGGGTCAAGGACAGGCATTAGTGAGATAGAGGTGAGGAAAAATGTGTGGGTCCATCTGTATAGGATAATAAGGTGCCATTTCTTTTGAATTGACTCTCATTTTTATCCACTGAAACTGCTTGTCAAATTTGGTGACCGTCATGTTATCAAATGCATCGTCTGTCTTAGTTTATTACCTAGACCTATTGGACAGCATTTGACATTTAATCACTCTTTTCTTCACTTTTCAGGATATTTCCATTACTCTTACTTCACTCATAACCTCCATACTCATAACCACTCATAACGTCTTTCTCCTCATATTTAAAAGTTGCAGTTTCCCAGGGCTTGATACTTGGGCGGCCTCTTCTCTATCTATACTCATTCCTTTGGTCATGTCATCTAGCATTATTGTAGCATTGTAATCAATCTATATGCCAGTTCCCAACATATCTATAGTTCTAGTCTCATCTACCAGTTTCTAGACTTGAATATGTAACTGCCTGTTCTACTCTTAATAGAAGACATCTCAGACTTCTGAATCAGAGCTCCTCTTCCCACTTGAGACAAAACAGTTTACAGACAACCTTTCTCATGGCAACTCCATCCTCCTAGTTTCTCATGCCATAAACCTCAGCTATCCTAGACTTCTCTCATGTTCTATTCCCAACTACTAAAAATCCTGCTGGTTGTACCTTTAAAATGCATCTCCATAGCTGCCAGCTTTGTCCAAGCCACAATTTTATGCCTGGATTTTTATTAAACCTGTGATTGGTGTTCCTGTCCCCTTCCCCCAAATGTTTTTTTCCAAATATAGCAGCCAAAACTCAAAAGATTGTTTTAATATTGCTTGTTGTTGCTAAGTGCCGTTGAGTTGTTCTGACCCATAAAGACCCAGTATAGGGTTTCCGAGGAGTGGTTGGTGGGCTTGAACCGCCGACCTCATGGTTCAAACCGACTTTGCAGTCCAGCCCATTAATCCACAGTGCTACACTATCTTGTTGATGTTGTTAAGTGCCATCGAGTCAGTTCTGACCTATGGTTCTGACCCAGTATAGGGTTTCCGAGGAGTAGCTGGTGAGTTTCAACCACTGACCTTGCAGTTGAAACAACTTTGCAGTCCGGTGCATTAACCCACAGCGCCACACGAGGACACTTCATCTCTTGCTCTATACCCTAATAGCCCTGCTCTAGTAAAATAGATTTCTTAGTGTTTTTAGAATATGCTAGAGCTCTGGTAGCGTAGTAGTTACGAATTGGACTGTTAGGGTCAGCAATTTGAAACTATCAGCTGTTCCATGGGCTTCCTGTCCCATAAAGATAAGGCTTCCTGTCCCATAAAGATTTACAGCCTCAGAAACCATGTACAGGGTCGCTGTGAGTTCGAACGGACTCCACGGCTCATAACCACCACCAGATACTCCTTCCAGAAGACATTTGCTGTTCTCTGTGCTTAGATGTACTCATCTTCTTAAAGATATTAAATTTTACCTTTTCAGTGAGGCATGTAGAATAACCTTATCTAAAATTGAAACTGTTTCTTGTTCACCCAACTCTTCCTGTATTGATGACTGAACCTTCGTTTTCTGGTATAGCACCTAGCAAATATTAGGGACTCAAATGTTTAACACCACTGGCCATGTCTGCATCACTGAACTCTGCAGTGGGTAACCATTGATGCCTAATTTTGATACTTGCTAACTATTGAGTTACTTTCGTAGGTAGCTTTTCTTGATAGTCATGTAGAATCTGAACAGAATAATGTGGAGAATATTCAGAATCTAAGTAACATGGATCTTAAGTTTTTTTCTTTGGGGTTTACTGAGTGAGCACTTTACAAATGTGAAAGTTAGATCATCTTATAGGAAGACCTATAAGATTCAGCGTTGTAGGTAATGAACACGCACATGATGAAGAACACGAAAAGCGTATACATTGAAAATAAATCTCTCAATCCAGGTTCTCCTGTACTTTTAGAGAATTGTTAGTTTCTTATGTATCCTACTGGAGGTATTTTCAGTATACAAGCATATTTCCATTTGTATTCAGTAACGTTTATCGTTTATGTGTGGTGCTGTGGGTTGATGTACTGGACTACAAGGTCAGTTTTAGCCATAAGGTTGGCAGTTCAGGCTCACCAGTTGCCCCTTAGAAACTCTATACAGAGTTGCTATGAGTTGAAACTGACTCCACGACACTTAACAACAACAACCTAGTTAAAAAAAAAAAATTAATCTTAAAGTTAATATTGGTATTTATGGAGCCACTTGCCTTGTTTTTGTCAGTGGCTGCATGATCTGTTGCATATGTGTGTATATACATACATACGTGCACATCTTAATAGCTTCAGATAGGAATAGATTGAGAGTCTATTGCAATTCTTTTTATTGTTTTGTTTTTCTAAATATTTGGTATAAAGAAGTAAGATTACAGAGGGCTTCAATATTTTCACAAAGGGCTGCTCAGTCATCTCAGCCCAACTTATTAAATCACTTTTCCTCCAAATTCAGAACTTCCTCTATATAATTATATATTTGTCTACTCATGCAATTTTAACTATAGTTTCAGGTTGTTTGTGTGGACTCATTGTTAGGAATCACTGATTAAAAAAAAAACAACAATTTTTTTATGGAAACGATAGCCCTGGTAGCACAGTGGGTTAAGTGTTGGAAGACAAACCACAAGGTTGGCAGGTCAAACCAGCCAGCTGCTCTATGGGAGAAAGGTGACGTTGTCTGCTTCTGTAAGTTTTACAATGTCAGAAACCTAAGGAGCAGTTATACAATGTCCTGTACAGTCGCTATAAGTTGAAATCTACTCAATGGCAATGAGTTTATTCTTAGTAAAGTATATATTACTTTTATAGGTATCATGTCTTAAACATTGTTTGAAATGACTTGGTTGGTGTGAATATCATATTGGTGAGTCTTGGTTTTTTCAGATTTGGGAATGGATGATGAAGGAGATGATGACCCAGTTCCTCTACCAAATGTTAATGCAGCAATATTAAAAAAGGTAAGGTCTTAATTCTTTGAGTGGCCACTTGGATTTCTTAGCAAACGTAGCTTTTTAAGCTTTTATACACTTCCATTGTCCCTTTGCGTAGATGATTTGTTCTAAGTTAGTATGTGATACTTTTAACCCTGATGAAATAGAAATAATTGTTGTTGTTGTTAAGTGCCATGAGTCGGTACTGACTCATGGCAACCATACGCACAGAACAAAACACTGCCTGATCCTGGGCCAACCTCACAGTCGTTGCCATGCTTCAGCCCGTTGATGCTACCACTTTGCCAATCCATCTCGCTGGGGGTTTTCCTCATTTTCTCTGACCCTCCACCCTACCAAACATGATATCCTTCTCCAGTGACTGGTCCCTCTTGACAATATGTCCGAAGCGTGAGAGATGAAGTTTGGCCATCCTGGCCTCCAAGGAGCACTCTGGTGCACTTCTTCCAACACAGATCTGTTGATCTGTTGTAGAACGAATTAGTTGACTGTTTTAGAGTAAAAAACTGCTGAAAGTGACTCAGCATATTTGAACTTTCGGTATAGTATTTGGATCTATACTATCCACATTGATTAATTAATGCACATAAATTCCACAGTCTAATGTAGAACTTGAAATCACTCTAAACTTGAAAATTCTTATGTACTTGAATGGTACTTGGATGTTTTAGGACCCTGGTAGTGTAGTGGTTTAGTGCTCAGCTGCTAACTAAAATGTCTGAGATTCAACTATCAGATCTCCATGGGAGATAGATGTGACAGTCTACTTCCATAGAGATTTAAAGCCTATGGGACAGTTCTACTTTGTCTTATAGGGTCACTGACTCGGAATTGACTTGAAGAAAGTGGGATTTAGGATGTTCTTAAATAATATAACTTTGTTGTTGCTAAGTGCCATCGAATCAGTTCTGACTCATCGCAACCCTGTATAGAGTTTCTAAGGAGTGGCTGGCGGGTTCAAACTGCCAACCTTGTGGTTAGCAGTCCAGTGCTTACCCTGCAGCGCCACACCAGGAGTCCAACTGTAATAAACAGAAAAACCTTCTATCTGCTCCCTTGCCATAGCTAACCCTTGTCGTTGTCACTGATTGGGTGTCTTTTTGTTTTTACATATGGGATGTTATTGTAACTTAGTCTCGAAAACAGTATGTTTTGGTGATCTTTTTTATGTCAGCATCCATAGATTTACCTCATTGTCTTTAACTGTTTATTTATTTTTTCTTTTTTACAAAAAAAGTTAATTTTTCGTTGTGAATTGGGTGACAGTTGATATAGAGCAAATGAGTTTTTCATTCAGCAATTTGTTTCTTGTCATTGATTGCCATCCCTATAATGAACATCATTTACCCCACTTCCTCCCTCAATTTTCCATTTCTATTCCTCTTCCCTAACTCTTCTGAACACTGCCTTGAGTAAATGTTGTCCTTTTGATCTCAACTGGTGTTTATTCTGAGGTGTACATACCTCACTCATGTTATTGTTCCCCTTATAGACCTGTGTATTGTTTGGCTGAAAATTGAGCCATGGAGGTGAGTTCATTTCCAGACCTGAAACTAAAGACAATACTCGCAGGATTATACTTGTTTCTGTCCAACCCTGAAGGTCTAGTCTTTTCTTGTGATTTTGTGTTTTGTTCCACATTTTTCTCTCACTCTAACGAGGGCCTTCTAATGTGATTCCTTTCAGAGCAGTTGATAGTGGTAGCCAGCACCACCTAATTCTTAATGGTCTGAGGGTTGTGGAGGATGTTCACATGGTTCATTAGTCCATTGGACTAATTGTTGCCATGTTTTCTTTGATTTTCTTCTCAAAATAGCTCTTTGGATGGTTACTCATGAGCTTTTAAGACTTCACTTGCTACTCACCAAAATAGGATGTAGAACATTGTCTTTGTAGAACTGCTTTATACCAATTGACCTTGTTGTCATTCTCTTTAACTCTTCATGTGTCCTACTGTATTATAGAACTATAAAGCTATCACTGTATGATAGATTTACCAGTCTTCATCAATGAACGTATGGATTGCATATATTTTTTTTATGCAAACACTACTATGAGGGTCTCAAAAAAGTATTGCTACAAAATCATAGAAACGTTTATTAGACAAAAAAAATCAAAATGTGAAACTGCTGTTTCTCAACATATATTCCATCTAAATCTGTACACTTCTGAACGCAGTGTTTTCATCTCTTAACCTTTCCGTAAAGAATTCTTTGCTCTTTGATTTATACCATGTCAAAGTGGCAGTTTTGGTTTCCTCAAGGGACTCAAAATTATATTCCTTTGGAATGCCCTTTGAGTTTTAGAAACAAAAAAGAAGTCTAAAGGGGCAAGATCAGATCAGTGCTGTAGGGTAGATAGGATAAGGTCTCCCATCCAAAATTCTTGTCGGATAGCCCTCGCTACCCTTGAAGAATGAGCAGGTGCATTATCTGATGGGGAAAATTCCCTGGTACAAAACTTACTTGGCGTTTTTCTCACCACTACAGTTGTCAATTTTCTTAAAACTTCTTTTAATAAGCACCCATGATCATCTTGTGTCCTCGGAGATTACCACTTTGGGATCCAAAAAACAATTGTCATTACCTTCCAAGCTGATCTTTCTGCCTTAAATTTTAACTGGTCTAGCAGATCCCCTTGGAAGCCAATGTTGATTGGACCTTTGTTTTGAAGGTACCCTAATGAGACTAAGACAAGTGTATTACTAAAAGTACTTGGCTACAGCCAGCCATTGATCCAGAGACAAGTTTGAATACAATTTATTTGGAATAAACCCAGGCATGTATGAACTAGAACCCTAGTAGCAATACTATTTGACTTACCCTGGATGTAGAGAATGTATGGGTCAGAGGATGGTTTTTATATACACTTTGATAGATAACGACCTTGTTGTTGCTAATTGTCCTGGAGTTGGTTTTGACTCATAGTGACCCTGTATAGCTTTTCCAAGGAGCAGCTGGTGAGTTTGAACTGCCGACCCTGTGGTTCAAACTGACCCTTGTGGTCCAGTGCTTTATCCCATAGCGCCATACCAGGACTCCATCTCTCTAAAAAGGTACTACCTCTCAGCATTGTGAAATGGAATCATGAACACTTACATTTATGTTTTCATAATGGCGAAAGTCGTCAGGAGTCCTGGTGTGGTACTGTGGGTTAATGCACCAGACTGCAAAGCAGTTTGAACTTCATGGTTGGTGGTTCAAGCTCACTAGCTGCTCTTCGAACACCCTATACAGGGTTGCTATGGGTTGGAACCAACTCAACGGCAGTCAAGAAGAGATGTGTATGTTCCCATTTCTATCTCTACCCACTCTGATCACCCCCTTCTGATAAATAAGGGAAACTAATAAAGTAAGTTCCTCTCATTCTTAAAGTAGCAAATTACACACACTTTTACAGGTACTTTTCTGTTTCTCATTTAATAATATCCTAGTGATCTTAGCTGTCCAAATATATATATTTTTTTACTCTTCAACATATCATTTATAATGTACAATCTACAAACAAAAATTATTAGGGTTGTCAATAAACAAAGAATAATCACAAGGTTAAGAGGAATGGCAGTCAAAACAAAAGAATCTGAGATGAGCCAGATGTTAAAAATAATAGGTAAAGTAGATTTCAGAGCAAGAAAAATTATTAGGGATAAAGAGGGATGTTGTATAATGATAAAGGGATCAATTCCCAAGAAAATACAACAGCCCTGGATATGATTGTGCCTAAAAATTGAGCATCAAAATGAATGAGGCATCCAATTCTTTTTTTAACACTGGTGGGTGATGGTGTTTGTATGTTGTGAGTAGGTTCTGACTCAGAACAACCCTATATAGGGTTTCTGAGGCTATAAATCTTTACTGGAGCAGAAAGCCTCATCTTTGTCCCATGGAGCTCTGATTGGTAGACTCAGACTGCTGTCCTTGGGGTTAGCAGTCTAACTCCTAATCCACCATGCTACCGTAATTCCTTTCTTTTCACACTACATAGTACAACTGTAACTTTGTACATGCAGGCTTTCCCTGTTATCCTAAAGTAGAATGTTCTATGAAACCTTTCATAAGCCTAAATGATGTAACGCAAAGAAGCAATGACAGTTTATATGTGAATTTTTTTTTTTAATCATTTCCAGACCCCACAAATAGCCTACCAAATCATATCAAATAATGCATAAAATCTGAAGTAACACTAATAAACAGTAAAACCCAGAATTATATGATAAATACACATGCTATAAAAGTAGAAATATAACACGGGTACAGTAGTTCCCAGTGAAGGAGCTTGGCAAAGCCCACTTTGATGCTCGACGATTGCACTGCTTCCTTAATGGCGTGCTACAAAACAAAAGCTGAATGCTAGTTTAACTTTGTGCTGTTTTTAGTAAGAGTGATACCCTTTTCTAATTTCTTTTGGTTAGTGAAAATCAGAACTAACAGTGAAAGCGAAGTGACATAAAGCAAACTTTTGAAACAAAACGGAATACTTGCTTATTGTAGTTCATTTGACTAGGCCCTTTGTATATTTGTGTTGTCTAGTCTTTTGCATTAGCACATTTAGATTACTGAGATACAACATTGTGTGCTATCATTGTTTGTCTGTGTACTGAATGGGTATACTCCAAAGTGAGCTTCAGTACACAGGTGTGTTTTTTTTGTTTTGGTGGTTAGATTAATCTGTTACTGTATGTTAAGCATTCTTCTGTTACTGTATGTTACATTGAGTGGAGTACACATGGCTTCTTTACCCAAGGCAGATATATGTATTAGATACTCCAAGAAATAGCAGTCTCTTTCCACATTGGGAAGCTAACTTACTTTCAACTTACAAAATGGACCCAGTTGGGCCCTTCCATGGAATCTCCAACAGTCACTGACAATATGCAATTTCATCTTATGCTTTCTCTTGAGAATTTGACCTCTGCATGAAATACCAGCTGAATTGCCTATTGTTCCATACTCTGTAACACTGGCTATTACTTTAAAAGAAAATCTTTTTCAAAAAAAAATTTCCCTAGAAAGCTACTAAGCATTGGACTGCCAACCAAAAGGTTGGGAGAAAGATGAAGCTATCTGCTCCCAAAAAGATTAACAGTTTTGGAAACTCTATGTAGGATTGCTATGAGTTGGAACCAACTCCATGGCAATGGGTTTGGTTTGGTTTTTGGTTTAGACTGGGTAATTCTATAAGCCTGCATGTTTTCCCAATTGTTAATGGGTACTTCTATTTTCTGCATAGTCTGTTTTCCCTTGTTGCTATTTCTGTTAGGCTTTTAGTAGGAATTCCTATATATAGATTTTTCTATATGCTTGTTTTAGGTCAGTTCAGAAGCTTTAAATTTTATCTAGGTGTAGCCATTAATATGTTCTTTTTTGTACTAATGTAAAAAGCTTCTAAAAGGACTGTGTTTTTTTTTAATGCTAGACACTTTCTAGGTAATGGAAGTTGCAACAGGGAACAGAGCCCTTAGAGTGTGTACATTCTAAAGGGTTAAAGAAACAGACAACATTAGAAATTTGTTAAAAGGACAAGCTGTGGAGACTAAAGAAGGGAAGTGGGGATATGGGAGGATGGTGCTGGAGAATCCACTATTTCAGAAATAAAAATGACTTGGAAATGCCTTTATGGAAGAAGGTGATCTTTGAACAAGGTATGAATATGTACAGGAAGAGAATTCTGGTCAAAGGGAACAAATGAAGTGGCCCTGAGAGTAGCATTCGCTGGTATGTGTTAGGAAAGTCAAGGAGACGAATAGAGTAGTTCGAGCATAGTGAACAAGCAAGGGGGTAGTAGATGATGTCAAAGTTAATGGACTGAGTGATGTGGGATTACTTCTGAGAATGAAAACATAGTTATAACTTATCTGCATTATTGGCGTCGTGGACTGGTACTGTTGTAGGGTAAGCACTGGACTACTAACCAAAAGGCCAGTGATTCCATACCCACCAGCCATACCCACCAGTACAAGGTCACTGTAAGTCAGGACTAACTTGACAACCATAACAACAACCTTTGCTTTATTATTTAGAAATATTTAAGTTGTTAAGTGTCATGCTGAGTATTTAATATCACAGGCCCCCAAAACTATGAATATATACAGTAAAATCTTCTGACCATTGTTGTTGTTATTGTTAGATGCTTCTGAGTAATTAACAATAATAAATTTTATGTATACAGAAAACTGGAAGAATATGGCAAACACCCACCTAGAGTCTACAACTTACCATACTCAAGATTGATTTTATTTTTTATCCTTGTTGATATGTTGTTGTTAAGTGCTGCAGAGCTTGTTCCAACTCATAGCAACCCTGTATAAGGTTTCCAAGGAGCAGCTGGTGAGTGAACCTCCGACCTTGAGGTTCACAGTCCAGTGCCGATCCTACAATGTCACACCAGGAGTCCATCTTGCTAATTAATCACACTAGTTAATTATCTTGCTGAAATTTTAATAACATATTCTTTCCCACATTTGTTCTTTGCCTGCTTTGTTTTTAGTACTCTTTTGCTCTTGTCTGGGGATATTTGGAAATGATTGGTTATAATGTATGCACATATCTAATCGAAGAGTTCCTGTTTCCTTTACACTACTGCCAACAATTAATATCTTCAAATCTTTGGGGTTTCTTCAACACTCTACAGCAGTATATCAAATTTTGCAACTCTCATTTCCTCATGTTTGAGAATACAGATTTCTTTTGTGAAGTACCTGTTCATATCTTTAGTCTATTTCTTTTTAGTGATTTTTAAGATATATTCTGTACACTAATCCTGGTGTGACGCCGTAGAATAAGCACTGGACCTTAAGGTTAGTGGTCCAAACTTCCTAGCTGCTACTCAGAAACCCTATACAGGGACCTTGTGAGTTGGAACCGACTAAAAGATACTTAACAACAACAGACTAATCCATTGTCACTTGTGCACGTTGCAGTTATTTTACAGTCAGTGTCCAGTATGACTATTGGTTTTTACTTTTTAATGTGATCTAGTATTGTGATGTGTCTGCATGGTTTTTAGAGTGCGTCTGGTATTGTTATCTGTCTGCTTTCATCCAAATATCATCCACCCTCTAGGATTATAAAGATTTGTTTAATTTCGTTTTTGCTTTTCATGCTTGACTACTGAGTAACTTATTGTCCAAGGAAACCTCTAGCCAGTTCTTACGTAATGTAGGAATAACTTGAACCAGCAGTGGAATGAATGTGCTTTGTGATGAGGAATGCCAGAGAGGAATGAATTTCTGTTGTTGTAGGTCATTCAGTGGTGCACCCATCACAAGGATGACCCTCCTCCTCCTGAGGATGATGAAAACAAAGAAAAGAGAACAGACGACATCCCTGTTTGGGACCAAGAATTCCTGAAAGTTGACCAGGGAACACTTTTTGAACTTATTCTGGTATGTTTTAGATGTATGTTATATCTCTATCCCAGAACCTTTAACCCTTCTTAATAGAGTTAAATTTGTTATATTCATTTGATCATGAATTGTAACACTCATTTAACTCAAATGTAATGCAGTGTTTTAATACACATATCAGTAATTCTGTAAGTATAAATACCTAAACACACCCAATACGAGGAAGATTGTCAAATAAGATAAAAAATAAAAAAATAAATAAAGATGGAAAAGGTGTACTGTGCTAACACTAAGGGGGCCATGTTGGTGCAATGTTTCACCCTTGACTGCTAATGTAAAGTCAGCTGTTCACACCCCTCCAGCAGCTCCATAGGAGAAAAGATCTGGTGATTTCCTCCCTTAAGGATTACAGTTCAGGAAACCTTATAGGGCAGTTCTGTTCTACTCTTTGTTATAGAATGGCTATGAGTTGGAATTGAATCCATGGCACACAATGACAGTAACATGCTAGCACTAATCAAAATAAAGCTGGAGAAGCTGTAGAATGTTGCCAGGGATACAAGATCACTTAGATAATGTTAGAGGGAGCAGTTCATTAAGAGGATGTAACAATCTTAAACATTTGTCTGCTTGTAAACAAAACTTTCAAAAAGTTAAAACAGAAACCAGTAGAACTCAAAGAAGAAATAGAGTCACAGTCATAAAGATTTTAACATTTCTCTCAGTAGTTGGTATCATAGAAAATCAATAAGGATATAAAAGACTTGGGTAATACTATTGACCAACTTGTCTTAATTGACGTTTACAGAATACTAAGACTAATGACAGTAGAATACATGTTCTTTTCAAGTATATATAATGAACCAACACAGAGCATGTTCTAAGTCATGAAGTGTCTCACATTTCAAAGTGTATTCTTTGACCACAATGGAATTACATTAGAAATTTATAACATAAAAATATTTGGAAAATCTTCAAATATTTGAAAACTGAAAACACATTTGTAAGTAACACACAAAAGGGAGGCTTAAGTGAAATAAAAACACCTCAACATCTGTGTGATGCAGCTAAAACAGCACTTAATAAAAATTAGATATTGAAAACAAACACCTATATTAAAGAACGATCTGAAATCAGTAGTCTAACGTTCAACTTTAAGAAACTACTAAAAGATCAAATTGAAATAAAGGACAGAAATTAATAAAATAGAAAACAGGAAAATGAGAAAATTAATGAAACCAAAGAGCTGGTTCTTTAAGAAGAGCAATAAAATGCTTTAGCTACTTATATTTGAACTCTTTAAGTATGGATAAATATTTTTGCCTAGATTCGCATGTGCTTGTTTCCCTTGTCCCCCCAAATTTGGGTTACATGGTTTCCTTAAGGTAGCACAAGGACTCAGGATTTTAAGGATGTAATAAAGAACAGCATGGACAAAACTGCCTTTCACAGCACAGCTTATATCTTACATATTCCCCCTTAAATTTCTTAAAATTAACTAGCATTCCCCCTTAAATTTCTTAAAATTAACCAGTCACTACTTGGAAAACGTCCAAAGGGTCGCTGTGAGTCAGAACTGACTCAGTGGCACTTGACAACAACAAATTTGGATTTAGTTTAAAACATCAAGTATACTTGAATTAAAACAACGTATCACTTTACAGGCTGCAAACTACTTAGATATCAAAGGTTTGCTTGATGTGACTTGCAAGACTGTTGCCAATATGATCAAGGGGAAAACTCCTGAAGAGATTCGTAAGACCTTCAATATCAAAAACGACTTTACTGAAGAGGAGGAAGCCCAGGTAAGTGCTCACAGCTTATCCTTGGTCGAATGTTTTTACAACCCACCAACTATATGAGATCAAAAGGCAGCATTTCCAGGGATAAAGTTTAGGAGGTAGGAGGGGAAGAGATAAAAGAGAAGAATGGAGGGAAATGGTAAACACAGAGAGGAAGTAAGAAGAGTACTAATTGCTGAAGATCTGGGGGGACGGGGGGAAGGATTGCATGGAGGGGATTGTAACCATGGCAATGAGATGATATACGATAGAATGAATGTAAAACCAATGTTCTCCCATGTAAACTATCACATAATTCACAATAAAACATTAAAAAAGAAAAAGGAAAAAAAGACTTCACAAAAGAATAATAATAATAATAATAAAAAGAGTACTATTTACATCATGGGAATTACAGTCAATGTCACAAATCAAAATATGTATGAACTGTGAATGGAAAACCAGTTTGCTCTGTAAACTTCTACTCAAACCACAACAAAAAGCTTTAAAAATTTGTAGGTATGTTAGGGGAAAAAGGAATTACAACCCATTTTATGTGCCAGCAGAAAAAGAATTATCAGCCAAAGAACTGTTTTAAGTCACTTAAGCAGTTACAAGTTTTGGCCATATCTGATACAGACTTGATTTCAGTAAATTAAGCCCTATGGATAGGTCTGTGCTAGGACATCTCATAACAACGTAATGAATGGATAGAACAGAATGATTTTGTTGACATAACCACAAATTAAAGTTATGTGACTAGGCTGTTTGAATTTGCTCTTTCAGCTTTGGTTGACTAAAGCTGTAATTGCCTGTTGCTTTTGCATTTTTGATTATTTCAATAGGGCCGAATAAAAACCTGAGGAGGCTAAGAAAGGGAACCAGAAAGTGTGCTCTTAGTCTGGTGTTTATCCAGTTTTTCACTTGTACCTTTCTGATCTGACTGTTAATGAATCATTAGTTCTTAGGAAAAGACTACTCAAGTTAAGGCACTTCCTTATATTTCTCTCTTCCAGGTACGCAAAGAGAACCAGTGGTGTGAAGAGAAGTAAAATGTTGTGCCTGACACTGTAACACTGTAAGGATTATTCCAAATACTAGTTGCACTGCTCTGTTTATAATTGTTAATATTAGACAAACAGGAGACAAATGCAGCAGCAAATCAATTGTATTGGCAGAATATTGTCTTCATTGCATGTGTAGTACAGATTGTAGAACCTAGAGCTGAGTTTCTCCTAGTGTGATCAAAAGTTGTTTGTTTTTTCTTTGCTCTGAATAAAACTGAACTGTGGGTTCTCTGTAGAAAGTGGTATTTTGGGCTTTCCCTCTTTTTGTAAAGTGATTTCTGCCTAGTTTACTGTCTAGTTAGCTTTAGTGTATTGACCTTTTAAAAGTTGGCATTGTAAATAAAACAACTTGCAAAAGTGTGCAGAAATAGACTTAATGAAGTATTATCTTTATTCATATTTTGGAAACCAGAAAAGGGCTATTTGAGGTAACCGATCTGAGTGGGGTTATTAGGATTGTCTGCCTGATATGTAGAGTCAAGGAGTTACCACTGGTATGGGTTAACCTGTGTGTAGCAAGACTACTTTAATGCAATCTGAGGACTGTGTATTTTTAATCCTCTTAGCTAGAGATTCAGTTAACTACCCAGTTTGCGCTTTTTGGGGGAGAAATGTAACTAGGTAGTTTGTTAGCTTTTCATTTAAAAAAGACACTCATGTAGTATGTCATCTTTTTATAATGAGTGTTCCCATATGGGGGGAAACTGTTCACACTATTTGCATGTTAAAATTAATTTAACCTTTAACATTAAAATGTGTGGCAAAACCCAGACAGCATCCATCATGAATGCAAGGTACTTTCAATAAAATGAAAGTTACATAGTAGGTAGTAAATTGTTTGATTTTATGGCCTTAAATGTGTCTGTTCACTTAATAATACTGTTGTTGTTAGGTGCCATTGAGTCGGTGCCAACTCATAGTGACCCTATGTACAACAGAACGAAACACTGTCTGGTCCTGGGCCACCCTCACAACTGTTGTCACACTTGAGCCCATTGATGCTGTCACTTTGCCAGTCCATCTTGCTAGAGGTCTTCCTCTTTTTCTCTGACCCTCCACCTTACCAAACATGAGAATCCTTCTCTAGCGACTGGTCTCTCCTGACAGTATGTCCAAAGTATGAGAGACAAAGTTTGGCCATCCTGGCCTCCAAGGAGCACTTTGGCTGCACTTCTTCCAACACAAATCTGTTGGTTCTTTTAGCAGCCCATGGCACTTTCAATATTCTCCTCCAACACCATAACTCAAAAGCATCAATTCTTCTATGGTCTTCTTTATTCGCTGTTCACCTTTCGCATGCATATGAGGTTATTGAAAATACCATATTGCATGGGTTAAATTTGTGTGATTTTAGAAACTGTTTTTAGGCACTTCATGACCTAATTCACTGGAGGCTGCTGGCGTTAACAGTAGGGTACTACTGGATTGCTCTGTCATAGTTGTCATCTAAATGATTAGCTGGTGTACGTATACAGGCACACACAACTGTGCTGCCATTGTTTCCTGCTCCACCCTACAGTAGAAGGATGTTTTCTTGTTGGCTTGCCTTGGCTCAGAATTGTTTTCTTTTTCTTCCTTTCTCGTTACCAGCATCTGTATTCACATGTAATCTTCCTGCGTTTTCATCACGTTTAGACTGAGCTGTTTTGGCTCAGATTATAAATGACAGTAGTTTGCCTTTACTTAACCACTTACTTGTTCAAAATTAACATTTTAAATGAAATCTCATATGCCATCTCACGGAAGGGTGGTGGTGGCTCCATACAATAAGAATTGGACTGAGAACCACAAGGTCCGCAGTTCGAGCCTGCCACCTGCTCTGTGGAAGAAAGATGAGGATTTTTGCTCCCACAGAGATTTCAAGCTTTAGAAACCCTATACATTGTTACAGTGAGTCAGAACTTGACTCCATGGTACTTAACAATAATAAGTGCTTCTCACATTCATTTCCATTTGTTGTCTATACCAGGGGTCAGCAAACTATAATCCATGAGTCAAATCTGGCTGACAGCATGTTTTTGTAGCCTTTGAGTTAAAAATACTTTTTACCTTTTTTTTTAAAGGGTTTAAAAAATAATAAAATCTAATACATACAAGAATGCTAGCTCCAGAGACTGTATTTGGCAAAAAGCCTAAAATATATACTCCTGTGGTCACTTGTTCTAATCTGTATCCCCTTTATTCTTAAGTAAGTTTGCTTTACACTCATACTGGTTTTAATGGAGAAGGTGGCTAGAGTCCAGCTGTGTGTAGCTAAGTGTGTCTCATCTGTCTCCTGGAAAAAGTATGAAACTTACTAACAATATCATAAGAACATAGTCTTTTTGAAGGTCCATTGTTATTAGCATTTGCCATGTTTAAATTATACAGGAAACAAACTCAATCTGTATTACACCCAGGGGTTGTTAGAATTATAGGAATAATTAACGTCTGTACAGTATAATTAATGCCACTATCTACACTTAAAGGATACTAGGATCTTAGTAGGTAGGATTGAATAGATAGATAATATAGTAATTTCCCCTTCCTGACTTAATGTCAACCGGGGCCCTAGTCATAAAACAATAACAAAAAAAAATCCTGTTAATTGTAAACTCTTTTTTTTTTTTTTTTCTTAATGTTTGCGATACCACCATCCAAGAGAAATGGGCCATTTGTGGCTGTCATCTACCCAAACTTTAATCATAGGCAATGTGTTAGGTACCTTTCAAGCTAATTGTAGCACTTTTTCACACCCTTCTTTTCCTAGTTTCCTTCTGTAGCTCACTATTCCTTTAATGTATCTACCAAGAGTTTTCCAGGCCCTCACCTAGTGTGTCTAACCCTTAACCTACAGCCCCACACCAGGACTTCAAGTGACAATGTGGTGGTTACGTGCTGTGGAATCGGTTCCGACTCATAGCGACCCTGAACAGGGTTTCCGAGGCTGTAAGTCTTTACAGGAGCAGAAAGCCTCATCTTTCTCCTGTGGAAACCACTGGTAGTTTTGAACTGCTGACCTTGTGGTTCACAGGCCGATTTGTAACCACTATGTTACTAGACCTTGTTTAATCCCAGCAACTAGTGTGTTCTGATAGTGTAGGAGAAACAAATGCCAATCGGGGATCTACAATTTTTAAAGGGATGTCTTTGTGAGTATTTGGGAAAAGATAAAAATGATAAGGTGAAACCTACCTTGTGTATTAAAGGTAGATTTACAAAGGTGAGCGAATAAAATGTTAAAACTTCAAAAGAGATAATGTACTTCTATCCTTTGAGAATTATTAGGATTTGTTTGAGGGAGGTTGAACCTTAGTCCATGCCAGTGTTAAGGAGAAAATAATCCAGTTTTCCTCTCCCCTGTATTCAAAGTGCTGTTTTTATTTTCAGTCCACCCTACATGCATTTCACAAGGATCTTTAACTTAGGTTCCCACTACAGATTCAGTGGCAGTGCTGCTGCCTTAAGCGGCCTCTGTCAAGTACAAGAATAACAAATAAAAAGCAAGCTGTACTAGACCTGTGACCCATGGTAATCAGGAACTTGCCCAAGGTCATGCAAGGTCATAAGGCACTAAGAGGAAGAGGCAAGACTTCAACCCCAGGGTTATGGGTTACAAGTCACAGTTTTAGTTTTTTTAAAAGTTGGGAAACAAGGAAGAAGAGCAGACAGGAGTGAGTATAGATTTGAAGATTATGTGACATAGGGCAACTATGGATGATGGAAAGGTTATGCACACTAGGTGAGAGCCTGGAAACCTCTTGGTATATATATTAAAAGGAATATTTGATGGTTTAGGCCCACCAGCCGCTCCTCAGAAATCTCATACAGGGTACTGTGAGTTAGAACTGACTTGACAACACTGAACAACAACAACCTATTGTCACTTAAGGAGCCCTGGTGGTGCTATAGCATAAGCACTAGACTGCTAATTGTAAGTCAGCAGTTCAAACCCACCTGACACTCTGAGGGAGAAAGTTGAGGCTTTCTGCTACTGTAATGATTAACAGCTTTGGAAACCCTATTCAGGGCCGCTGTGAGTCAGAATTGACTCGATTGCCATGAGTTTGATATATTGTCAATGAAGCCTTGGTGGTGCCATAGTGTAAGCACTGGACTGCTGACCAAAGCTTGGCAGTTCATACGCATCAGCCATTCTGTGGAATAATTAGGCTTTTTGCTCCCATAAAGATTTACTGCTTTGAAAACCCTGTATTGGGCTCACTGAGGTGAAATTGACTTGATGGGTGTGAGTTTGGTTTGGTTTTTAAATTGCCATTTATGGGGCAGTGATGTTGAATAAATTTCAGATTCACAGCCTTGGAAATCCTACATAGGGTTTATGAGTCGGAACCTTGGAATCTACTTGGTGGCAGTGGGTTTGGTTTATGTGGGGAGTGAGAAGAGTAACAGTTAAGTCACAGTATGAATGTGGACATGTGACTCAAGGCAGGTAGCTATTCCAAACCACATAATGTCTTCATATTCTTAGAATTTTGCCCAATTCTGTCATCTGTTTTTTTGCGCTTAAGGTAAATTAAGAAATTAGGTAACCTAGGCTCTCAAGGTAGTTTGGGGATAAGGAAGCAGCTTCCACCAGGAAAAGTAGACTGAAGGGTGGGCAGCAGGCCTTCTGTTCTGAGCACCCTGTATCTCGTCTGTGGTCAGTAGAGCCTTGCTCATTTTTTTGAAGCGTAACTTGTCTACCACCACTTTCATTTAAAGATCTGATTTTTCTTTTTCTAAAGCTCAGTGTATGTCGAGTGGGAAGAAACCAACCTAATGAATGTTCTCCCTACAAAGTTGTTGAGCATTTTAAAAGGTAATCATCTTCAAGTACCTGGATTCATGTGAAAAGTTGATTTCCTGCCAGGAAAGAAGTAGTAGAGAAGAAGATTGCAAGTAAAGGGAAAGTATAATGAAATGATTGAGTCCCTAATGTGTAGTTCCTGCCTTTTCCTTTGTGTAGGAAGCATAAGTAGACATGACTGTCCTATAGGAACTTTTGGTGTCATTAAGGAGACTAGGCATAACTATTGTGGGGAGTGTGTGAATAACTAATAGAGATGTTCCTGGGTAGAACTAGATTAATGGGCAAATGGAGAAAGTCTATGAAAGGTTCTGTGATGACAAATTGTTTACTAAAGCCAAGTTGGATTTGGTTGGGGTGAAGCAACATCTGCATGCCAGATGAGGGGAGAAGCAGTGCCGAGGCTAGAACTAGCATCAGCAGGTTGGGGGTTGATAGAGCTCTCAGAGAACACAGACTGGAAAGAGACATTGGGGCCAGATTCTTTCAGATCTTGATGATACTCTCTGGGAAGAGTATGTCCATCAGGCCAGGGCAGTTATACTAGCGTTTAAAAGTTTTATAGTGT